TTATTCTCGGGTGCTTCCGGGTCCATTGGAGTATAGATACGGGGCCTGCTTGTCCTTAGGACTCTCTTGATGATTGTTGACTTTCTCAGCCACTGCCAGAAGCTCTGGCAGGGTTTTATCTGCCAGTCTGTCCAATTTCTACAATTTGTGCCTAATATTGGGTGCTGATTCACGAACGCCAGGATCACTGCATTCTTATTCTCGGGTGCTTCTGGGTCCATTGGAGTATAGATACGGAATGCCTCAAGGATCCTTTCTAGGCATGCTGCGGGTGATTCTGTTCTCTCTTGCTGCACATCACTAATCTTGGCCAAATTGGTGGGACGCCTTGCGGCCGCCCAGACACCCCCATTAAAGTCTGATGATAGACCCGGAGCCTCTCCTTACCTTCAGCCACATTGAAGTTCCAATTCGGCCTAACCAGGGGAAAGGCTTCACCTATCAGGGCCTGATTGGTGGTGGGATTCCCATCCACCCCAGGGACCAGCTTGCTGGCTTCAACCTGGATCCAGTCTCTTTCTTCAGTGGTGAACAGGACCTGCAAAAGCTGCTGAATATCACCCCAGGTTGGGTAGTGGGTAAACAAAACAGATTCTAGCAAATCAATTAGACCTTGGGACTTTTCAGAGAATTTAGCTGTTTGCAGCTTCCAGTTGTAGAGGTCACTAGTTGCAAATGGCCAATACTGCATCTGTTGGTCCCCTGCTTCAGTGAGCGGCCCCACAACCCAGAGGGGGAGGACAGTAGAGTCTGCCACCAGCTGTGGCTGCCCCCTTTGGACCCTCCTCTGTGTCTGGAGAGGCTGTTCTTCCGCCTCCTGGGGTGGGGCTGCCTCTGCCTCCCCAGGGGTGTCCTGAGGCTCTGCTTGTGGGACAGGCTGATAGGAGGGTGGCTCAAGCAGAAGTTCTTCCCCTGTGCCTCCTGGCAAGACAGGGTACAGAGGGGCAGAGGGTTTAGGTTCATTTCTCTGCCGTTCATCCTCGTGCAGGGTGAGGGCAGTCGGCTTTGGGCCAGTGGGGGAGGAGGAAGGAATGGCTTTAACCATTTTGGAGGCTCCTCCACCATAAGCTGCCAAGTCATGATGTAAGGGACCTGATCAGGGTGGCCTGGATGGCCACAAATTATATCCTTTACTCTGTAGATGGTGGACAGGTCGAATGTCCCTTCTTCAGGCCAACCAGCCCCAAAGGTCAGCCATTCATTCCTGCAAAACATAAAAAGCTTCCCTTTCTTTACTCTTAACCCCAGGCTATCAGCCTGGGTTTTGAACTCCTAGAAGTGACCCTGGAAAAGGCTAAGAGGAGTTACTTGGTTCTGTCCCACCTCTTCTAATGCAGAGTCACAAACACAACAAAAAGCACAAACACATAGGAAAACAACACACGGTTAGTTGGCGCCTTAAACTGAAAATAGGACGATGGCCTCTCGCTTCCTGGCAGGCACAACCTGCTCCATCCTTCCAAATTTACCAAGGGGATCCAATCCCCACCAGGTGGGTCTGGGACGTCTCCCAAGTCCCACGATCTATGGCCTTCCAGGGAGTCCACCTAGACCTCCAACAGGCAATCTCAAACTGGGCCCAAAAACCAGATGCGCACAAATACAAAAGACACAAAGACAAGAGACACTCACTGATCGGATCAGGCAGACTCAGCGCTCTGGGGTCCCATAGGGGCGGGGGTCTTGGGGATCCCAGACAAGCCCCCAAATGTTGTGCCCAGATAATGGACCCCCAAGAATAACCAAGGAATCCAGAGGGCATGCAAGAACAAAGAGCCTTTATTCAGGGTTAAGCTTGGACTCTCAGACCTCACCAACACAATGGATCTGTGCTGAGAGCCCTGATTGCAAGGGGTGGAAGCTTTTTATAGGTTCCAAACAAAGAATAACAGAGTTACATATTGATTGGTCCAAAGAGCCTGTGCGCACACGCCAACATACTTTTGGATTGACTACTAGGGATGTATCCTGGAGGTCTCTCATTGGTGGGTGCTATCCTCAGTGCTGTGGAATGTGCTGTTATCTGTGGGGCCAGAAGTCTCTGTTCCTACCTTATAAGGCTGTTATACACCTGAGCTTGCTTGATCTATAGCCTCCTGGGGTGGGGGTGGTAGGTGAGATTACAACATGCCTGGGCATGTTCAGGCTTGTCTGAAACAACTAGTCAAAATGGGGTCAACATAGTTTGTCCTTTCAGTCAAGTGTTCAAGCAGTTTACAGAAGCGGAAAAAAGAGCAGTTATTCCTAGAGAGTGAGGGTGGTCTTCTGGGGTTAAGGGGGCATGCATGGGCTTGTCTTATCCACAGTCTGTAGTCTAGGGCAGGGGAAACTGATGGTTTCTGAGAAAAGAAACCAAAGCCAGCATGGCTTCGGCTCTTCATGGGCATCCAGGAGGCTGTATGGAGGCTGCCTTGTGTACCAGCACAACTTCTGCAGAGAGAGAGACAGAACGGACACTTATCCAAGATTACAAGAAAGGCGGTGAGCCGGGTAGGCCTAGAGGAAGGCAGGCGAAGAGGTAGACTCAAATTCTGGACCAAATGTGGTGGCTGGCCAAAGCCAGCAGGGCCAAATGACCTGTGCCACAGGAGGGCCGGGTTGGCAGTTTGGTTCAGTAAAAGGGAAGATCACGTTGTAGTGTAGAAGACCCAGGTGCCACTGCCGGGTTTTGGCACCAGATGTATGCAAGGATGCAGCAGAACCACCGAATGAAATCACTCTGTGGGTAGAAAAGCAGTTTATTGGGGGACAAACTGCTGAGCTGTCTCATGGGAGTAGAGAAAGCAGCAATGGGAGGGGGGCTTAGATAGGTTTTACAGGCCCTTCAAAGGCCTGGGGTGGTTCTGGCTGACATAGGTAGATTGGTTTATGGGTACCAGATGTTCATCTGTCTGCCTGGAGTGGTTAGTTATAAATACCCTAGAGTTATGGGGTGTCTGGGCCATGCTAGGTTTAAGTTTCTATGTTCCTTGTAGAGGTTTGTGCTGCCATCTTAGGGACCTAACAAAACCTAGTCTCATCACTAAATATATAACATAAAAATGAGCTTAACCCAGGCTGGAGTGATGGCTCAGTGGTTACGAGCAGAGACTGCTCTTGCAGAGGACCTAGGTTCGAATGCCAGCACTCACAGGGCAGCTAATAACTGTGCTTCACCCCAAGTCCAGGGGATCTGATGTGCTTTCCTGACCTCCGAGGCCACTATACTGTCAGGCAGAAAAAAATCCTTGGCTCCTTCTCCCAAGCCCCTCTCTTCCTCTTTCTTGCACCTGGTGCAGGGACAAACATGTTTTTCAGCTCAAAATGTTCTAGCAGAGGGCTGGCAAGTTCCCACCCTGAAGTTTAGGGCCTTCTGCATTCCAACACCCTATATAACCTATAGACTGCAGCCATATTGCTGATGGTTCTACTCACTTCGGAGCTGAAGGCTAGCCCCCTGAGTACCTCCAATAAATCTTCTTGTGACTCAGGGTCCTTTCTCCCTTCTTTCCGACGATTCTGGTCATATAACTTAACATGCACGACAGAGGTGCACTCACATGCATGCAAGCAATACACTCAGACACATAAAATAAAAAGCAGCAATAAGTGGGGCTGGAGAAATGGCTCAGTGGTTAAGAGCACTGACTGCTCTTATAGAGGATCCGGGTTCGGTTCCCAGCACCCACAAGGCGGCTACAAACCAACGGTAACTCCAGTTCCAGGGAAATCCGAAGCCCTCTTCTGACCTCCACGGCACTGCACAACACCGGTGCACTCACATACATGCAGGTGACACACTCATACACATAAAATCAAAACAAATAAAATACTAAAAAAAAAAAGCAGCCAGGCGTGGTAGTGCACGCCTCTAATCCCAGCACTCGGAAGGCAGAGGCAGGTGGATCTCTGAGTTCAAGACCAGCCTGGTCTACATAGTGAGTTCCAGGTCAGCTGGGGCCACAGGGAGACCCTGTCTCAAAAAGACCGGAAAAAAAAAAAAAAAGCAATAATCGCTGACAGCTGGACAGCTGTTCACAGGCTCAAATAAGCTCACCTTTCCAGTATATCGGGCTGTTTTCACTTGAATTTAAAATTCTACCTCTCTTTTGACAGTTAGTCTTTGAACCTCCCCCCAAATATGTTTGACTAATGCGCGTTCTGCATATGTGTACCTTCCCTTTCACATGGTTATTAATGTTAAAGAGTAGCGGGCTTCCTGGATAGGATGCTTCCCCCGCCAAAGCCGGGAAGTCCGTCGGTCTTCCATCCCGGCCCACTCCTCAATTACCCATCAACACCTCAGTCAGCAACCCCGTCGCACCGGCCATTTCCTCCTCACCCTGCACCGCGGAGGTCTCAGAAGAGACGGAACTGAGGAAATACAGCTAGTTACAAAACAGCAGAGTTCAGAGAACACAAAGCGGACTTAGCCAGCGTGTTTAACAGCACCGATAGGCCGGCACCAGGTACTTTTAACCGGGACCCAGCACGTATCCTGGCTTCTTGCTTCTCCCGCGTGGATAGCATAACCGAAACCGCCACCGAGCCTTCCGGTCCCCAACGCCGCCACGAAAGCGCTCCGCCCTCGGGGACGTCAGCGGCCCGCCCCCATCTCCCCCGGGCGGCGGAGACCCCCGCCCCACGGAAGGCGCAGCCCAGGCCCCGCGGGAAAAAGCGGAGACCGAGCCAACCCCCTCGGGCCAGGCCACCGCTCGTCCGCGTCCCCGCAGCCTCCGGACCTGCCGCCCCTCCCCCACCAGCCGGGGAGGTGCGAGCCCCCCCGCCCCCCGTCCCGGAGGCCCCAGAGTCCCGTAGGCAACGCCTCCGCATACGAGCCCTGCCGCGCAGCCTCATGGGACTTGGAGTTCTGAAAAAGCCTCTGTGCGACCACAGCGCAGTGCCCAGGACTGCGACTCCCACAATGCTCCGCGCCGAACAAGCCACGCCCCTAGATCGACAGAGCCCTAGCATTCGGGACTACATTTCCCTGCGGCCCCTTCGGCACTCCCGCCCTCCCTCCCGAGACACGAGCCGAACTGGGCGTCAGGTCGGGGAGCCGGTCGGGTTCCCGCTCGCCGCCGCCGCCGCCCCCCACAGCGCCTCTCCCGCCTCTCCTCAGCGCCGGCCGCGGGCGCTGCATCGTCTACTCTGCTCTCTGAGGAGCCTCCAGCGTGGGGTCATCGAGCCTGTGACGAGACACGCCGACACCCCCATCACCTCCGGCCCCGGCGACCACTCCCCGGTCCGCTCTCGCCTGGCGCGGAGCCCGGGCCGAGCCCCCGGGCCTGACCGCCCCGCGACCCCGCTGCCGCACTCCCGCGCCGGCACTCTCGCAGCCGCCGCCCCCCACCCTGAACATGGACTCCGACTCCTGCGCCGCCGCCTTCCACCCCGAGGTGAGTGCTGGCTGCGTCCCGGCCGCCCCCTCCCCAACCTCCCCGAACAGCCGGACCCCGGGCCGCGGGCTCGAGCCCGCCGTCCCTTCCTCCTCCATTTGCTGCGCCCCCGGGGCCCGGCGTCCGCCCCCAGCTCGGGCCCGCGTCGGTCGTCCCCGCCGCGGCTTCCCCGGACGCCCGCGTCCTCCCCGCGCCCCTCAGGCCAGTCACCGCGCCC